GTGAGTGAGTGCTCATCTTGCTCATCCTGTCCTGGTCCATGTGTGGGATGAGGGGATTTCTATCCCAGTGTGTGTGAGATTCCCATCCCTCTCATCCTGTTCCATGACTGTGTGTGTGATTCCTATCTGTCTCATCCCATCCCAATGCCTCTGTGTGTGGTTCCCATCCTCTCATCCCATCCCAGGGAGTCAGTGTGTGTGTGATTCTTATTCCATCCCATCCCAGTGCTTGTAGCTCTTCTGCCATCCCATCCCACTGCTCCCATTCCATCCTCCTGTTGCTGCCTACACTGGAGCCAAAAATGGCTTTGCTTGTCTGCCTGCTCTCTCCCTCCCCTCGCCCTCATTTCCCATCCCTGCCATTCCCACCCCACAGCCTGACCCCATTCCATTCCTGGTTGAAATCTTACAGCATTCAGTGCCCCTGACAGGGTCAGGCAGGCCGGTGCAGAGTCCAGGCGTGTGTGGCACAGCCACCCTCCAGCGCGATCCTGAGCTGTCACATGCTGTGTACTCGTAGTGGTACTCGGACTGCAGGAGACACAGAGGGAACGTGCAGGGGAGCTGCACTCGAGGCCTCCTGGGCTGCACCACCCCTGTGCTCCCTGAGAGGGGCTTGCCCCTGGGCCCAGCTGTACCTTCAAGGGATGATTTTGAGTTAAGGTGTGGCAATGTCCTGTGGTGCCCAGGGCCTGGTGAGGGGGGGGCTTGAGAGGGTGCTCAGGGTGGGGGGATACTGGCGGGGGGGAGTTCAGTGTGAGGGCATGCTGGAAAGTTGGAGGTGATTTGGGTGGGAGATGCTCTGGATTGAGGGGAGCTGGGGACCAGGGGGATGCTCAGAGTAGGGGAGTATTGTGGCAGGGGGGGTCAGTATGAGAAGATGCTGGGAAATGGGGGTGCAGTGGGTGGGGGGATGATCTGGCTGGGGCTGCCCAGGAACCTTAGACCAGCAGCAGCCCTGTACCCCTCCCTGGTGTGGGGGTGAACCCCTGTGCTCCCCCCGTCCTTGTTCCTGGGATCACATGGCACTATCATGCCCCTTGGTGTGCCTTGGCATGGCTGTGACACACTTTGCTCATCAAACAGCTATGGCACAACCCAGATGCGGCCTGGGAGCACCCTGGGCATAGGGCCGAAGCGCAGAGGGGACTAGGGGGAACCAGGAAGTGCTGGGACAGTACAAGCACCATGACCCCCCCTCTCCTGCCAGCTGCACCAAGCTGAGACTGGCTTAAGGCTGGTGACGCCAGGGACAAACGGTGTGGGCAGGGTGAAGGCCACATCTGGTAGTGCTGTTGGGGTACAAGGGGAGCTCCCCACCCCCCGCAGCAGCTCTGAGGTGTCAAAGCTGGTGCTGTGGCTTTATGCTCCCAGCGGCTGCTGGAGCGTGGCAGGTTGATGAGAAAACAACTGCTTTGATGTTCCCATCAGCTGGAAACACAGCAATGGGGGAGGGAAAGAGGGGGATGGGGGATCTGAGAAGGAAAGAGGGATTAGAGAAGTAAAAGGGGGATGGAGAAGGAAAAGTGGGGACAGAGAGATGCCTGCAGCACCCCCTGCCCATATTCAGGCAGCATGGAACGCCCCCTGGCCCTGGGATCGGGACACAGAGAAAGGTCTCCACCACCCTGGGGATACCCAGCGGGTCACCCCAACTTTCAGCAGCCCCAAACTACTATATTGCTCTCAGTCCCAAGGGATTTCCTTGGGGAGAAGGTATTTTTTCTCTCTTAGTAAATTTTTCCAGGTTTTTATTAAATCTACATAAATTGACCTAATTCAGCTCCAGGGTGGCTTTGGGGGTGGAGGACACCCCAAACTGCCACTGTAACTCTGCTCTGTCCAGGGGAGGGAGAAGGGCTGTCCCTTATGAAGGACAGGGGACAGCCCGTCTGGGGGACTGATCACTCCTGGGGCAGGTGCCAGCCCCAGTCTATTGTTTCCAGCTCTGGATTGTGGAACACAGGCAAAAATAATTGGATCAGAGAAAAAAAAAAATCCTGATCCAGATTAAAAGCAGCAGGTCTGAGGAGGGGGGAGGAAAATTCGAGGCGGGGGGGCAAGATGGACAACCCAGGGAGAGCATTTGGGGGTTCACCCGCTGTCCCCAAAGTGGACAGATCCTGGTGAGTGACAGTTTTTCTTCACAAGATACCATGTGCTGAGCTGGGAATGACACGTGGCCATTGGGATTATCCCCCTCGCTCCTTGTCACCCCCCCAGCAGCACTAAGGGAGACCCCAATGTGTCTGAGGGGTAGGGACTTAGGGACGATGATGGGGTGACACCATTTGGGGTCCCCAAGGAGACCCTCGAGGACTGGCTGAGCCCCTGGAAGCAAAGACCTCTCTCTGGGCCCCCAGGAGGTCGGCCAGTCCCTCCCGCTATAGGAGACACCCCATCCCCAATGCCACCGGGACGCCCGACCCCTACCTGTCTCCTCCTTGTCCTCCCCATCCCATAGGGAGCGACCTCCCCGTGCTCCGGGACTCCCGTTTCATCGGCGTGTGTGGGGAATTTGGGGGGGGTTGCAGCGGTCGTGGTGTGCTACCGGTTGCCCCCCCCCCCCCCCCCCCCCCCCCCCCCCCCCCCCCCCCCCCCCCCCCCCATTCCCGGTGCCGGTACCTCCTTGCAGATGTGTAGCTGCTCTCCGGTGCATCCCGGTGACACGGTGACAGCCAGACACAGCGCCAGCGGCAGCCACCGGGCTCCGGTACTGGCCATGGCGGCGGCAACGGCGGCAGCTCGGCCGGTGCGAGCACCGGCGCCGCTGCCCCGCCCCCACCAACGGCCCGGCCTCCGCGCACCTGCCGCTACCTGCCCCCGCCCCCGGGAACGGCACCCGGCATCGCCCCCGGGAACGAGAATAGGCACCGGGAGAGGAACCCCCGGCAACCGCACCGGGCATCACCTCTGAGAACGGGCACCGGGAACGGGAGCCCTAGGAATGGCACGGGGCATCGTCCCAGGGAACGGGAACAGACAGCGGATCGCGAATAGAAACCCCTGGAACGGCAGCTGGCATCGCCTCTGGGAACATTTGCATGAGAACGGCACCGGGAATCGGCATCGAGAATGTTATTCATGGGAATGGCACCGCGCATCGGTATCGGGAATAGAGAGATACGGGAATGGAACTCCCAGGAACAGCACGCCCAAGGCTATACTCGGAATGGTATCCTGGGATTGACGCCGGGCATCGGCACTGGAAGTGTTATCCATGAGAACGCCACCGGGAACCCCGTCATCCTTGGGAGTGTATCCCCGGAAACGAGACTGGGAATGTAATCCTCAGAACGTGTTTCCGGGAACGGCATCGGGAACTTACCCCTGGGAACAGATTTGGGAATGTTATTCCAGGAACAGTACCGGGACCGTCTCGGGGCATCACGCCCCCACCTCCCCGCCCCCGGGAACAGCCCCTCCTCCCGTAGACCCGGGGCTGGGGGAGGACTCGGACACAGCGAGTGGGGGTCATAAGACCCCGGCAGCCCGGAGCCACCTCCACCCCACCGGAGATTGTGTGCCACTCGTGTGCCCCTCAGGCCTTGTCCTCATGAAGCCGGGCCAGCCCCACTGCACTGGGGACAGGGGACACATGTGGTTGTATATTCTGGACATGGAGGACACAGGGGACATAGGGGGTACAGGGGATACGGGGGACACTGGAACATCAAGGACACTGGGTACAGAGCTGATACAGGGACACAGGACACGGGGAATACCGGGGACATGGGAGAACGGGGGACACAGGGACAGGTGACAGAGAGGATATCTGAACATGAGGGACAAGGGAGAGACACACAAACACAGCTGGTAAGGGGCTACAGAGGGATACGGTACCCAGCTAATATGGTGACACAGGGAGATGGGGGACGTAGGGGGACATGAAGGATATAAACATGGGAACACGAGGGACATGGAGGATAGAGCTGCAAAAGCGACAGAGGTCCCAACTCTGGTTGCACAGTGTCACCCAGTGGATTGGGGGATACTAGTGACACATGTCCATCTGTGGTGGCACAGAGGTGCTAGCAAGTACCATGGGCATGGGGGACACAGCTACAGGAAGAGATCATGCCTGTCCCTGTGGCAGGCATGGAGACAACCCTACACCTATTGTGCCACAGTTAGAGACAGTGGCATGGGGTGGCCATCATCTGCAGTGTCACCTTGGCAGATGAAGCCTGCCAGGCACCATTAAGCTGGTGACCTCTTCTCAGTGTCCCCACAGCAGGGCCAGCATCAGCAGCCAATGCAGCTGCTTCTCCCAGTAATGCCAGAATCACTGCTTTGCCCTCATCACCACCACGGCCTTGTCACCACTACAGCTGTCCCCTTTTTACCTCTGTGGCTGTCCTCTCAGGCCCATCCTCTTGTCACCACTATAGCCACCTCTCGGTCACCCACTCTACTGTCCCCTTGTCACAGCCATGGCCATCCTCTTGCTATCACCACTGTGGCCATCCTGTCATTACCAGCACAACTGTACTCGTTTCCACAGTGGCTGTCCCCTGGTTACCATCACACCTTTGTCAGCACCATAGCCATCCCCCAGTCTTCACCGTGGTTGTCCTCTTGTGGCCATCCTTTTGTCACCACCATGGTTAACCCCATCACCACACACCCTCAATAAAACACAGAGGCCGTGCTGTATGAAGCTCATAGGTCTAATGAGAGTCCCCGGTGCCCACCGGGGCTAGCAGGGTCCGTGCCCAGCTCACACACGTGGCACAGTGCCAACACAGACCCGTGTATAGCCTTTGTGCCCCACACAGCTGTAGGGCCCGGTGAACTACTCCCAGCACGGCACGGAGCGTGCGCGGCCCCGCAAGGCCAGCACAGACCCCTGCAAAGCGCGTTTGGAGCCTTGTGCAGGGCCCATTTCTCGCATCTCCACGCGGCCCGGCGCTGCACGGGGCGGGATGAAGCCGGGGAATTTCGCTTTCCGTCGCTGTCGGGCCCAGGTCGGTGCCGGCCCCGGGGCTGCAGCCGTGGGCGCGGGTCAGAATCGCAGGGCGCTCAGCGGCCGTGGCCTCGCCTATCTGATCGACTCATCCCGCCCGGCCCAGCCGCACAGCGCCCGAGGGCTTCGCGGCACTTTCTTCTCACCTCGGCCCGGCGGGGCCCGGCCGATCGAATAAGATCAACGTGTAGGGAGGGGAGGATGGCTGGCGCCTCACACACGGACACCCCTGACTCGCACTGCGCACACGCGCACACAGACACACTCACACTCACACGCGCACGCAGCCACACTCACACACGCACGCGCACGCGCACACAGCCACGGCCACTTCCGGTCGGGCCCTTTATATACCGCAGCTGCGCGGAGCACGACGGGAAGGCCGGCAGCACTCCCGCGCGCCCCCGCCGCCCGGAGGAGCGCGCTGCACGCGCCGCCCCGCCCGATACCGCCCGGCCCCGCCCCGCCCGATACCGGCCCCGCCCCGCCCGATACCGCCCGGCCCCGCCCCGCCCCGCCCCGCCCGGGCACATGCCCGCACGGCGCCGGCGGCACCGGGTGCGGTCACCCCGGGCCGGGCACAGCCCTCCCGCCTCGCTCTCAGCCCCACAGCTGGACGAACCGGGCCAGGAAGCTCCAGTCAGCAGTTCTTCACCCCATAGCCTCCCCCCACAACCACTTTATTTGCACAAATCCTCCAATTCTCCCCACCCCAAGACCCCATAACTATGGGAGCCCTCCACCCCATGGGAGGCAGCCTCCAAGGACCTTCTCACACACACTCAGTGGGACTCTCAATCCACACCACAGGATCCCCCAAGCAGGGCATCAGCCCCACAGGAGCCCCACCAACCCCACAGGACATCCAGGCCAGCAGTGCCACAGAGGAACCCCCACTTTATTTGCATGTGGTGGTTCAATATTTACAACCAGGGGGGGTCATCAACCCCCCACTGCAGAAGGAGACCCCCCTGTAGGCTCCTCATGCTGCAGGAGTATAGGAAGATCCCAGAGAACAGGGGGGACCCTGCCTGGCACCCAGAGCCTGCCATGGTCTCACTAGGACCCTGCTCAGCATCAAGAGAAGGGGCTTACAGGGCAGAGCTGGGTCCCCCAGTGCTGAGGGTTCCTTCACTCACTTCTCTACAGATTTCATGGGAAATCCTTTTCCAACAGTCCAAAGTTGCCCTGTTGGCTCCCACAGTTGCCCTTGGTGGGCTCAAGGACGGTGACAGGCCATGATGGTCCCTGGGTTGCCACACGAGGGATCCAGGTTGCTGCCAAGGGCAGGACTGGGGGTGGTTCGGGGTCAGTACCAGGATCTCCAGGATCAGTACCAGGGTCTCCAGGGTCAGCAGTGGGGTCTCTGCTTGGTCCTGGGACACTGGGGTTAGTACCAGAGTCTCTGGTCCATACTGGGGTCTTTGGAATCAGTCACAGGATCTCTAATCGGTCCCAGGTCTCAGGTCACCAGCAGGTTTGCATATGGTCACTTTCCCACAAGGACGTAGAAGGCCATGAGAAGACAGGACACAGACACAGCCACGTGCAGGCGGGTCCCAATCACAGCAGCTACAGATGGGACAGGATGGGGTGAGGCCCTATGTTCCCATCCCAGATCCATCCTGAATCCCTGTGAGCCCATCCCAGACCCCATGTTCCCATCCCAAACCCCACTGTTCCAATACCCAATCCCTGTTCCTATCCCAGACCCCAAAACCCCCATCCATTCTCTCTGTCCCCATCCTGGACCCAATGCCCCTGTCCTAGACCCAACCCCAGTGATCCCAGCACCCCCATCCTGTACCCCAGTGTTCCAAGTGGCCCCATCCCAGTGATCCCAGCATCCCCATCCTGTACCCCAATATTCCAAATGCCCCCATCCCAGTGTTCCCAGTACCCCCGCGCCATACCCCAGTGTCCCAAGTGCCCCTCACCCTTGTGGCAGACTCCCCAGACCCCCCTGCGCTCAGACAGGAGCCAGGTGCGCAGTCGGGGTACCTTCCGTAGGTACGCACAAGTGCAAACCAGTAGTAGCCCGAACACCAGGAGCCCGTCCAGGGAGTAAACTGCAGGGAGGGAGGTGGGAGAGGGGTCAGGGGGCACTCCGGGCTCCTGCCCAATCCCCGCCCAAGGGGACCCCCACACTCTGTGTGAACAATCTCCCATCTCTGCCCCCATGAGGGGATGCAGACTTCCCGGGACCCCCACGAAAAGGGATACAGACCTCCCAGCAACCCCACCGAAGGCACTCAGAACTCCCAGTACCCCGCCCCCAAAGGGATACAGTCTCCCACTCGCCTCCCAAAAGCTCCTCTTAGTACCTCCCCGACATCAGCCCGATCTCCCCCGCCGCCTGCCGGTACCTGAGTGCTCTCCCCATGGTGCCCCATCAGCTCCGCCGCCTTCGGAATCCCCAAAACCCCCGTACCCCCGCCGCCATGGTCCTGAGGCCCCGGACCCGCCCGGACTCCCCGGCCCCTCCATTCCCCAGTTCCCACCACCAGTCATGGCGGCCCCAGGACCGTCCTGTCCGCCCACAAGCCCCGGTTCCCCCGTTCCCACCGTTGGCCATGGCGCCCCCCGGCTCTCCCCGGGCCCCCCTCGGTGCCGCTGACCCCCGGTTCCCCCGTTCCCACCGTTGGTCATGGCGCCCCCCGGGCCCGCGGCGCCAACACGACAGCGGCAGCGGCGACAGACGCGGCCAGCCGAGCGCCGACCCGCCCGACGCGGATCCTGAGGGGCCGGCGGCCTCAATCGAGCGCCTATTGGGGAGGTGCGGTACAGCCCCAGTATGGTCCGGCACAGCCCCAGTATGGTCCGGTACAGCCCCAGTATGGTACAGCCCCAGTATGGTCCGGCACAGCCCCAGTAT